CTGTGGGCATCCCCAGCACCCAGCAGACATCCTGGTGCCCTGCTGGCATCCTTGGCACTGCCACGCCTCCCTGTATCCTGGGGTACCTCCAGTACCTGGCAGCCCCCCCAGCACCCTGTGGGCACCGCAGCACCTGCCCCTGAAACCCTGAGCAAAGAGAGCCTGGGAGACACCCAGGGAGGAAGGGCAGGGCGTGCTTTTCAGCAGTAGATAGATAGATAAGGGCTATCCTGGGTACCCCAGCACCTGCTGGGCATCTTGGCACCCTCTGGGCATTTTGGCACCCTCTGGGCATTGTCACACACCCTCTGGGCAGCAGTAGCTCAGCGGGGAGATGCTGGTGATCTAACCGAAGTGCCATAAGGTGGTTAGATCACAGGCACAGCTTGGTTCCAGGGAGGATGTTCTCCTGCAGAGTAAAGGCCATCCCTTCCCAAAACAGCCTCCCCAGCAAGAATTGTCCCTGAACTGGGCAGGGAGGCTGCTTGGCTTGTGGCACTTTGCGTGTTTTGCTGGGTGGTGTGGACTTGCAGAGGTGCCTTGTCAGGACCCAGAACATCCCTCTGTCTGTCCAGGATGGCCAAGACCCCTGCCAGGGGGCTCAGAGACCCTGGCACAGAGCCCAAAACACCTGTGGTTTGATTATGACCCGTGGAGCAAGTTACCAACCTTAGACGAAGATCATCAAGCCATCACAAATTAAGTACAATGACAATGAATTTATCACAAGGTGGAAAAATAGATTTTGGGTTTTTTTAGAATAGGGGTTCAGGGGGCAAGATGGAGAGATCTGGGCATGTCCAGCCTTTCTCCTTCTTCTTCTTGGCCTCCATCTTCTGGTGTAATGTTGGCACTTTGGGATTGGTTTAGAGTAGAAGCTCACTGTCTAACATAGGTGAAAGGTATTGGGAAGTAATTGTAAACATTGTACACGTAGTTTTTATTATAACACCACCCCAGAGGCAGGCAAAATACCTCTGACTGTCTTGTTGAGCAGACCTCAGCAGGCCAGGAAAAAGAATTTTACAGATAAGATACAATGAACAACCTTGAGACCAAGAAATGAAGAGCCCCGACTCCTTCTTCAAGCGCCAGGCTGGGAAAAGAGACTTTCCAACTTTTCTTGGGGTCACTCTGACCAGCTAGAGAGATCCCAACAGTGCCCCAGTGGACATCTGGATAGTGCTGTTAAACGGGAGAGGCTCATTTTGACACCCAGGCACTGTAAAATCTGCAGCCCGTCAGTGCTGTGACAGCCAAGGCCCTGGGCTGTTGTGCCCTAAAAAAAGCAATCAGTCCTCCTTCAGTGGCACTTCCTGATGGAAGCATATCAGAGCTCCAGCAGGGATCAGAGTGCAAAAACACACCCAGCTAACGAGCAAACAGCCCTGACGTGTCCCCATTACAGTGCCCCTGCCGTGAGCCCCGTCAGGGGTATAATGTGATTGTTTTCCTGGCTATTTGTGGCTACCTGAAACCCCACCACTGCTCTTCAGCACATAATAGCCCTGAAGAGGGACAGTTTCCATCTCCACACATGATTGTGCCCATTACTGTATCTATATTTTATTAGTGGCTGTTGCAATGTACATTAAGGAGATGATGAGGAGCATCGCTGTGCTGGATAAAGCTCTGCTTTGAAACCTCGAGGAGACACGGCATCAGAGTAAATGAAGCCAAAGGGCACCTTCTGCCTTTGAGAAAGGCCTGATTCTGCTTCCACAAAGGCACAATTCTCCCTGGCTGCAGAGGGAGAGGGGCTGGAACCTTGTCCACAGCTCCAGGTGGGCTGAATGAATGTTCTGGGGGGATGTGTCACACCCTCCCCTCTAGCACAGCGATGCTCAGAGGGTGAAATCCTCAGGGTGAAATCCTCAGGGGGAAATCCAGAGGGGGAAATCCAGAGGGGGAAATCCAGAGGCACTCATGCTCTGGATGCTGCCTATCAACCCTCCAGCTTGCCCACAGAGGTCAGGGCATGTGGATGCAGCTCTGTATTCCCATGAGCATATCCCTGGAAACAGCTGCAATCCCACAGCGGCACTGAGTGGATATTTAAACTGCCTTTCCCTGTGGGCCATGCTGCTATTTAGCCACCCAATGGTCCCTTTTAGCTCTATTCTGTTTCTTATCCCTGGGGTTGAAGCCAAAACTGCTCCAGCAAGGAATCACATTAACATCTGCCTTTCTCATTAACAGGATGCTGTGGGGAGTGATTAAATGCTGGAGGCTGGCCTGGGAGCAGACAGGGAATGGAGGGGTTCCCTCCCTGATTTGGAGGCAGGACAGGGGTAGTTTGTACCTCTCCATCCCTCTGAGTGTCCTGCTGCCCTGCCAGCCTCACCCAGGGTAGTGAGGAGCTGTGCAGAGCTCCCAGTGCCCCCATCACCCACACTCTGCCTGCACAGCCCCTTCTCA